TTCTTATTTCAGCTACTGCAGTCTGATGGTGACCTCTGGCCTCCGGCCATGGCTAGACACAGATGTGATACACTTACCCAGTCCTTCCCAAAGGCACTGCTTTAGACAGACTGTTTGAAATGCCAGCTACCTTTCTTCTCAAGTCAAGTCAGCTCCTGAAGCACTTTCTCCAGCTATTTGGACTTTGATTTTAAAACATCTGCTTTCAAGACTTTCTCTTGAACAAGAGAAGAGACTGTTGCTGTAGACTGTACTTGCTGAATGGCTAAAGTTGTAAAGTCTTGGCTGGTTCTTAGAGGCGAGCCAGGTAACAGCTTGCTGCACCTGAGCTTAACAGCCAGGAACAGAAGCTGACAGGAGACTGGAAACTTGATATGTGACCCTCTGGTATTAAGGTCTTTGTAGCTGGAAATCTGAAGTTACTCTGCTGTTTTTTGGTAAAATAGCCCGTTGAGAATGTTTTAAAAAGTTTTGGGCACAGGGGGAGAGCAAGAGGCAAAGGGGTGAAAGTGACCTTGAAAGCCAGTGAGGCCTAGGCTTTTGTAGCCCTTCAGCACTATAAAACCTTCTGATAGAGCTCTGCTGCAGGTCAGCAAATAATGGATTCTGGTAATCAAGCTGAGAAATTACAAAGGCTTTAATGAAATATTTCGACATCTCTGCTGTCAAGAGTTTTTTCCATCCCCGGCTGCTCCATATATGACAAGTCTGCTGCAGCTTGGGGTGGATGTGGTGGCCAGGTAGGAAGGTGGGTTTTGTATTTGTAGAAAATGAAGCAGTGGAGTGGCAGCTTGGAGCCTCTGCAGAACACCCCCTTTCTTAGTGGGGTCTAATTTAAGAAAAAAGACAGCTAATTCAAGGAACCTATTTAATCTCTGATTGTGTCTGAGCTGTTTATGAAAGAAAAAAAAAATCAACAACAACAAAAAAGAAGAACAACAGAACACCTCCCTGACAGGAAACCTTAATGCAGCCTGTTATGTGGACTTCTGTCAAATTGATCAGTGTAGGTGTTGTTCAGCTGCTGCTAGCTCTGCACTGAGAAAGGTCCCATGTGCAGTTACCATCACTATCTTCTCTTAAACAACTAGTGCCATGCTACTGACTTGGTATTCCTTGTTATCCTGTATTGGACTTGTTTCATTCTCACAGAGTTGGATGCTGTGAGCTATGCTTATATTAGATGAGGCAAACAGTGTCCTGTTTTTAACCATTTTCAGCACCCTCCTTACTTCTTTCATCCTGAAGTGCATTATCAATGAATTTAGAAGCAGAATAAAAGAACTGGCTGAGATTGAAAGTGGGAAGATCGTCTGCTTCCACTCCATGGTACTCCACAGTCATGTCTTGGTAATATTCTGGTCCCGTATCCACGTTGCGCTGACCATGAGCTGCATTGAGGATGTGAGTGAAGCCTGCCTTCTCAAGGCTGTAGCGATCTAACGCTGTTTTCCTGTTTAAAAAAAAAAACAAAACAGCAGTCTTGTAAATGACAAGAAAAGCAACAACAAAAATTATGATTTGGCGTACGGTATTGAAACTCATGATGTTTGAAAATGCATCATTTGTCATTGTAAAGGCTGTCAAATATTGTCACTTCTGGAGAATGATCCCTCTGTAGTCCATACTTATCTTTGCCTGACACTCAGAACACATTAAAAATGAATGTTTTCCTGGCACCCTTGAAATGCGTGCAATACCAGTTTCTGTCCATCTTATACAAGAAGAAACTCGAAATACAGAAAGAAATAAAATGAATTATTTTAAGTTGTAAAAGCAAATCAGTGGCAGAACTTGAAATAGGACTTTGTGAATGCTGCTTTCCCCTTCTCTCCCATCATTTGATACTGCAGAGCTAATGAAAGAGTCAGTAATAAGTGAGTAGTAAGATCATCTGGGATTCAAAAAGAAGTTGCTCTTTTCTAAGAGAAGTTACCAAGCTTTTTCCCCTCAATTTATACATAAGAACAAGCAGCAGAAAGAAACACCCTACCTATGGTCACAACACCCTGTCAGATTCGTTTACTGTCCTGTTGGGTTAAATCAGAGATCTAAAGCAAAAAGAAGATATGAAATCAGACATTGGTGTTCAGTGAAAGCTGAGAGTCATACATTTGGCTTAATATCACACTTCATTTTTGTCCTCTCTTCCCTTGGATAAAGGATGTGAGAGAGGAGAGAGAATCCAATGTTTTTGTTTGCTCAGTACCCACTGTATGTGCTTGTTGGCAGCCTGGAATTTCTCAAAAATTACATTGCTTATGTAAAATTAAATGTAAAATTAATTTTGTTTGGAAAATTCTGTTAGAGAAAGCTTCTAATTTTGGAAGGTTTTCTTTGGTAAAAGCTGTCAAGTTTTATTAGCGTATAGAAAGACTACTGAACTTGAAAAAAAATAAAAATAAAAAAGGTATCTGCTTTATTTTGTTAATATATTTTCACTTAACTACTGCTGCCATAGATGAATTAGTACATAATGAAAAACTGCTTTTTCCAATCAAAAATACTTCTCTCTGTGAATGTTTTTTGAGCATTTCAATGTGTAAGTGTAGCTTCTGTCACACAAGATGTCATTGTGTGCTACCTGTTGTGCTTCGTAATTCTGGAGGTGACAGCTCAGAATGGCTTTAAGTTGACTCCACCTGATACTTGGATAGAGAAAATGCTTTCCATGGACCATATTTAGCTGAAAGCATGAATTCAACAGTGAAAGACTGATGTTCCCAGGTGAGAACCGTGCCCCACTGGAACAGCTGCAAGTGAGATCTTAAATATTGAACGTAGAGTAGGATTGCATCCTAGTTAAGGCCAATGAAAAAGTGGATGAAGTTTTTGATAGGCTGTAGATACTACCAAACTTGGCTTCTGCAAGCACTTCTTAGACTAATATGTAGGATTTGAATTAAATGATGAAGTTGTACTGATCAAGGGCAATACCAAAGAGTAGGTTGCATGGCAATCATATTTAAGTTTGACACCACTACATTGATCTGGAGTCCAATTTTCTTGTTGCTTTGATTAGGTTCTTTGGAGATTGCCTTTTGTTATAGTAAGTGCAATTAATGCATTTGTTTCTGACAGGCTTACTTAGTCTTGTTCAGTGGCTCAGAATCTTATTTTTAAGAGTTCGGTGTCCTCAACTGTTTTAAAAGGTATTCACAATGAGGGATACTGTCCTTTGCTAACTGCCTAGGCAGTCAGCTATGGTACAGTGAAAATAAGAGCTGTGGGGTAGGGGAAACACGTACTGTGGCTGACACAACCATTATATAGGCTGTTAAACTTGAGGTCTTGCTGTGTCTGCTGCATGTTGACTGCCATTTAACAGAGAGCTAGAAAATGGCTGGCAAGTTGTAGGGAGGCCCATACACTTGTAAATGCAGATGTGGTTGTGCCTCTTGATGTGTTTGATTGTACTGGCTTTAGCCCTTCAGTGATCTCTGACCTTGTGTGTAGCATGGTTTTGCTTTCCAACCTCAGCCAAATCTGTTGTGTAGCACCATTCTGGAAGTAGACTTAACTGCCTGTTTATTCTGACCACAGCCATTGTTGCTGTTGTTTCATTTTGGCTGATACTCTTGTTTACATCCAGCATGGATGGGAAGGAATGCTTCTGATCTTCCTTGCAGATTTCACGATGCCCGAGGCATTATTTTAGATGAACAGAAGGAATAGCTCAAGCTTTGATATCTACAGGTGTTCAGTTAGCTGAGGTAACTAATAGCATGGGATCACTCAGAGACTGTTGTATGAATTGTAATACCTTTTGGGGGGATTTCTAACTCACTTTCAGCTGAAAATGGTGGAGGTTTTTCCCTTGCTCAGTACCAGACTTCAATGGTCAAGCTAAGACTATTCTTTTCTCCACTTCAGGTGCTGCTATTTCCTAATAAAATACAACTAATATTTCCATTTTAGTGATAGTAGTTGAATTTAAAGTAGACATTGCAAAGAAGTTTGCTACAATTGTCAGTGTGGGTGAAGCCATAACATTTGAATATTCTTTCAATTGCTTTCATTTTGTCCATTGTCACCATCTGTGCTGCTGGCACTTGATTTCCTCTTACACTGTGGAGTTGCAGTCTCCAGTGTTTGCCCTGAATGTGTTTCTACGCAGAGGAGGTGAAGTGTGGCACTGAGAGATAACAGTTAAAGTTTCAGTATAATTCCGTTTAGTAAGAGATGAACCGGGCAGATTGGTCCCATATAAAAACTCATTAGCTCTTTAATTCAGAGCACATAAACATATGCTAAAAGTTAAACACACCCATAAGTCTCCCTCTGGATAGCAACGCGGGGTGAGCAAAAGCTCAGTGCTTTGCTGAATCAGACCCTGCATTTGCTGTAGGACAGATGGACTCATAAAATGTTTTTAAAGTTCTGAGGCAAGGGGGAGTGCTTCAATATGGGAATGCCACCTAAATAAAGAAAATGAGAGAGAAAGTAACTTTCACATGGGGAAATATTCGTAATATTAGACTATCACCAAGAGGGAGCGACTGGCCCAAACAAAAATGTCATCTACTTGGAGACGGTTCCCAAAGGAATATTTACATCTTTTAGGCTGTGCAAGGGCAGGTAAAGGTCTGCCCGAGGCATAACTGTGCCCACTGTCAGTTTTAAAGCGAAGATTGTCACAAGTTTTTCATGTGAGCAAGCACCATAGTAAATTTAGCATTCTGGAAGCAGCAACCTAACTAGCTATAATGTAAAAGAAAATTCTTCCTTTTAATTTATCGTCTCCAGCGTACCAAATCCCTTTCCTGTCTTTTTCAAATACTGCCATTAAGAAGCTGGAGCCTGGCTGCTTCCGTCAGGAAGATGCTCAAACCATCAGAGTTGGAAGAAAGGGAAAAACAATTTTCAGGCACCTTCATCTGAAGTATGAAGTATTTATCAGCAGCTAACAAAGAGAAGAGAAGGTGGCTCAGGACGAAAACCCAGCTGTATCTAAAAGAAGGGAAGGAATCCTGCAAGACTCCTTGTGAGCAAAGTGGGCAGAGCAGCTCACTCCACAGGTAAGTCAGCTCTTCATAGCTGGTGCTGGCTGACTACAACTGGTGTGTGTGTTTGTGAGTTGCAAGTAGAGCCAAGTCTCTTAATCTTCATGTGAAGGTTGAGCATTGCAAACATGTTTCGGTATAGGCTGTGAAAGCCCATAGATTGACGTGACCCAGATTGACAAAACAGAAGGAAATCTGAGGCAACACGTTACTAGAAGAGGAATCGTCCTTCTCAAACTTTCCCGTGTTTTTAAAATGCTTGATGCAGGATGATATCGTACCAGATGGTCAGTGTCAGAAAGAAGCTTCCTGAATACAGGCAACACTGACACTTTTTTTTTCTTTTTTAAAGAAAATCTGGCAGTTCTCCCTGCTGAGGAGAGATGTTGAGAATTTCTAATAATACTGACCCAATTTCCTTTGGTAACTTTAGCACTAGAAGGAATCTAGCGATGGTGGAGCGTTGTATCCCCTTTTCCTTCGGAGGTGTTGCTCTGTTTCTGTGGATACCTCCTGTTCAGTGTGAATTAGAAGAATTTTGTTACCACTGAAAGTACTGAACAAGATCTTCATAACTTGTAAAGGAAAAGATTTAGCAGTTCATTTTCCTTTATTTCCAAATGGTGGATTTTTTTATTTTTTATTTTTATTGCATATGTGTGTTTTTGCAAGTGATGCAACACAGATAAAGGAAATTCCTCTCAGCTTTCTATATAGCAAAAGCATCAAGCCGGCTCCTAGACTGAAGTTGGCTTCGGTCACTTCTGTGCCACATCAAGTGCTAGAAATTATCTGCAGCCTGGGATGCTGCCTTGGGAAGACCAGAAGGGTAGATGACAAGTGTTACTTGTCTTGGAAATGGTGCTTTAAGAGGTTTTTTTGTCCAGTGTTACAGATCTGATTTGGATTTTAACTGCTGGTAAAATTGGCAGATTCCCATTCTAACAGAGTTGAAACTGTGTCCTTGTGAGTATTGTTATAAAATGTACATGCACTCCTGTTTTTTGTATGATTAATATCTTATAAGTCCTAGAAGTTCATAGTGCGAACTAGTGGGAGGTAACTATTTGTTACTCTGAGTGAGCCCCATCTGTTTTCTTCTAGATCAGCATAAATCGTCTTTGTACTTAGTCACTTGGAAATCTTTCTTTTCTTTTTCTGGGGAGAGAGGGGAGAGCATGGGGGAAGCCAGTATTTAAATTTTAGTTACGTATTTCAGTTATCATAGGCTTCAGTCTGTAGGTGTGAGCTACCTGCGTGTTTTATTGAACGTCACCTGTATTACTTCTCAAAATCAAAAGCCCTGAGCCTCTCCAGAAAGAAGCACAGACATTCACTCTCTTGAAGTGTGAGCCCAGTTCAGCTATTTGACGAAAAATTGGTCTTTCATATTTAACCTATGAGGAATTAGTCTTCAGAACGCTTCCTAGGAGTAATTTGGGAGCACAGTAAGACTTGAAATTGTGATCACACCTAAAATCCTAATGAGAGCTAGAGGGTGGCTAAGAGGAAATCACAGTCATAGGAGGCCTTTGACTAACACATTCTTTCAAATTAAGAAATATGGAATCACAAACATCATCTTGGGCAAAAACGCAGTTGCAGAAAAGACACAAGGGAGAAACTGGAAGCTGCGTTTCTGGGAGAGACTTTCCATGAGATTGTGGTGAACCAAGCAGGCTTGAGATTAGTCAGTAAAACTGCCCATGCAACCTAGTGACCACTGAGAGAAGGAAGCAAGACAAGAGATGCTTTTCTGTCTCTTCAGAAGGCGTCTGGACGCAAGGAAGACACAGGCAAGCACTAATCTTGGTAGCAAATAAATCAAAATCTTGGCAAAGCATGCTTTATTCCTATCACTGGGCTGTCTCCTGCAAGTTCCAGTGCGTGGTCTTTAAAAGTCCTTGGAACTTGCTGGAGGAAAATTTCAATTGGAGCTGAACACAGCATGTTATATTTTGAGGCTTTGATTATTCTGGGCCTGACAGGCTCGTGGAGATTTCATTGCCTCTGGGCAACATCTGCAGTGAAGTCTTGTAACAAAGGCACTGAGTGGCCTCACAGGGCTCCTCGATAGTCTGTGTTGCATTAGATGGAAGATGTGGTTATGTAGTCAGGGTAATTAATTAGCATTTCCATAAGCATCGCAAGTCCTGTTAACCTTGTAAATGCAGGAGACAGGAATGAAGCACAGATGTAGAGGCTCTGTGGATAAACTCTGTGTGTATTCACTTGATTTTGTTGATGAGTTCCACTAAATTCTTTTAAGATCAACCTTAATTTAGCATGGCTAAGGATGCAAATACACCCAACATCTGTTCACGTCTCCGTGGCAGCTCTTCAGCGAGCAGTGCTACAATGAGATCTTAAAAATAATGCAAAACCCCTGCCATTCTGAAGGAAAAGCTGTTGATCAGGAGTAGGATCTGGAGCTAGCTGAGGAAAGATAGTAATGGTGTCTGGATGCTGCCTGCTTAAAATCAAATGCGTGTTCTGGTCGTGAGAGCTGCATCTTGCCTGCAGACCAGCTCTCATCTCACATTTTCTGATACTGGACATCACATTTGTCCTCAGCATTATTTTCATCAGCCCTGGCTGATGATAGTCATCCTCTTGCTGGGAACCCCATTTCCTGCAAAGCCTTACTTCTATTTCTCCTCATCACCTATTTCCCAATTCTTTTTTTCATTTCTGTTGGCACTAGACGCTTGCTTTCTCTGGTTAGTTTGCACCAAGTGAACGTGTGTATTTTATTCAGCAACACCTCTTAGAGTTGATGCCATTGCAAGGTGTAACAAGTCCCTGTTACAGGAACAGCTGCAGGAAAGACAGTTGGTGGGCAGTGTCTGAACTTGGAGACTGTGCAGAGAACTGTTGTTCCTCTTTGCTCAGAGGGCAGAGTTGTAGCTTCATCGCAGAGGTACAAAGCAAATTCTTCTAACCGCTTCATTCAGAATAATGCTGACGACTGAATGACCAAGTAGGAAATTAATGCCAGAAGAAAATGCTGTAATCACTGAATAGAAATATCTAATGAGTGGCAGGGTAGGATAGGAGGAAGACAACTCAAGCCCATTTTCCCTTTTCTTGAGCAAGCATAAGATTTTTTTTTTCCCTTCAAGTGACAGCCCATTACTTGGTTCAAGCCCAGATCTCGTGTGTCTTTCTATGGCCTCTGGCGCCACAGAAGTAATTGGTCGATGATATTAGGAGCCTCGTAACTTCCAAGATTGTATATCTTTCGTTTTATAAGCTGGCAACAGATGAATTTTAGGACCTTTTAAAAAATTATTGAGAGCTTTGGAGTCAGTGGGACTGCTGCTTGTGCCTTACGGTGATGATGTAAAGTAGATGTCATGTTTGGGAAGGGTGTTGAGGAAAGTGGGAAGTGTACCAATAGTGCCTAAGGGGCAAGAAAAGCTCTCTAGCTCTGCTCAGGGTTTGGTTTGGGGTTTTTTTGATGGCCTGCCTGCTGCAGCAGTTGGCTCTGTGTCAGAATAGCCTGTTTCAGCTTAGTCCTGTGTTCTGCAGTGCTAAGTCCATCTTGCAGGCTTGGGTGTTTGGGGTTTTTTGTTTTTTGTGTTGTTTTTTTTCTCCCCAAAGTCATATTTGGTGTGATCAGTGAGACACAACTCTGCAGCTTTGCCCTTCCACAGGCTACCATCTGTTTTAATCTCTGGAGCAATTTGGAGATGCAGAGCACTCTGTGTACGCAAGAACAGGCTTGGAAGCACAGAAACACTGCAGCAGGTTCAGCTGACTCTTCAGTCGCTTTTTAAAAATTACATTTTAGTCTCAAACCAACTGAAGCTGTGGTACAGCAGGTCTAGACAGTGCCCTTCAGTCAGAGTAACTATGAAGAGACTTTCATATGGAGATAAATGGCAGGTTACTGAGCGATTCTGAAATGATTTATGACTGACTTTAACTTGAGAAGACCATACGAGTTCCAGGACAGCTCTGTGGCCCCATTTTAGCTGTGGGCCCCTGTGCACCTGACCAGTGCTTCCTTGAAGCAGCAGCATCCCGAGCTGTGTGCCGGTGTTCAGGAAGGACTGTGGCAGCAGGGTGCTCTGCCAACTCTGGCAGCTGTCAGTAGCACATCAAAACAGGCATTACTGATAAAGACTTGCTAAAGGGTAGGAGGAGAAATGAAACTGCTCAGCTGTTTACGGACTGCACTTAGCGCAGCTTACTCATCTCCTATATAGAGATGTACTTTGTGAGCTTACTCATCATCTGTGCAGAGGTACCGATAACACTTACTCATCTCCTATGTAGAGGTTGGGCCAGACTTCGTTGACATGAGTGTACTTTGGGCATCCTTTCCAGAAGAGCCGCTCCAGTTCAAATGCACCTGGGGTACAGTAATCCCCATCAGGATCCACTTTGATTGCTGTGTATGCATTTTTCTTCCCGGCGTTCAAACCTGTTGATGACATCTTCTCCATGGAGCTTGGGCCGTGCAGGAGGCTGGAACACAACGCAAACAGAACGCTAAGATGAGGAAGCACAAAGCCTGTGAGTTCTACTCAGCGCTCGGAGCAGCACTGGCCAGATGCATTGGGGCACATTGTAAGCAGGTATCAGGTGGTTGCTCAGCACACCAGTTCTTCTTTTTCAAGATCTTAATGCAGCCCTGCACAGTGAACCTTGTAGGCTATTTCTGGGAGCAAGGCTTTGCCTATTAGCAGCACTTCTCCTGCAGCCAGTGATTGACAAATGATTCCTTAACGAGGGTGGGCTCAAGGACTTTATCTTCTCCAGGCTCGCTACTTTTCTTTTTTTTTTCCCTTTTTTAACCTGGATCCATACAGGTGCAGTGCTGCTGCAGGAGACAGAGAAGGCAGATGGCATCCCCATACAATGTGTTGGGTGTCTTTAGGTCAAGAGGTTCTCCAGTAATTTGTTTCTAAGTTTTTGACATCTTGAAGAAAAATTTGAAGGGAGAGTAGCGACTCCCACATATTTTTGTGTGTTGTTCACTGGTGCTGTTTGTGTCTGTTTCCAGACAAGGCACGATCTGGCTATTCGTAGAGCATTTCTGCAAGCAAGAGGACCATTTTTCACTGCCATCCCACGTTCTCAGAGGGTTTTGTTCCTTGGCTTAGACTCTTCTGTGCCTGTCATGTTCTGTTTCTCAGCAGAACTTGCTAAAGCCAAATAATCCCCATTTTTCAACTCCAGAGCTAGGCAAGATTGTGGAGTCAGTTTTTGTCTGGCATATGTACACCTTTGTTCAAAAACTGGCTTACTTTCACTGGCAACGGGATCTGTCTTTCAGCTTAGCTTCCTAAAATGTGATGATGTTTAGCTAAGTGGTCCTCTGAGATGCATAAGGGGCTCTGAGGATTAATTCCTAGCTTATTGCCTTGTACTTGGTCCTGTATGCCTTCGAGCAATGTGAGGTCCCATTCCTGTGCCTCCAGGAGCCATTGCCTAGGAAAGCCCTCCTTCCTTCAGATCATGCTGACTCTGTATGCAGACTCAGTGAAGTAAGTAATAATGGACTGGCAGAAAGCTGGGCTTTGAGAGTGGAAGGACTGCTATCTAGAACATGATAAGAGAGACTGTTTGTCTCGTAAGAAGTGATCCCAGCATGAGAGCCTTGATGCTGAGGGACTGAGAGCATTTTATTCAGAACTCCATAAAGTAAGGGGAAGAAGAGAAATAAATGAGATTAGTAATTATGTCCGGTGTTCATTACACCCTGTATGTAGCCCTGCTCTTACATTGCAGACCTCAAAATGTGACAGCTACACTGCAAACGTTTGTTTTGTGACTACGTGAAACCGACTCAGTCTATAGGTCTGTCAATGCTTTGCAAGTTAGAGATCTGCTGAGAAATGCTCATCTCTGTGTCCTGGGAAGCCGTAAGCTCCCTGAATTTTATGCTCTTTATTCCTTGCCAATGTTATCTTCTGCAGGGATTTTTAAATTGAATTAAAGCACAAGCATCAGTTGAAAATTCCTCTGATAAAATAAATATTTCGGATCTAACTGTAGACTAAGTGTAAAGTAGTGGAATTTCACAGGAGGGGAAGAGGGGGAAAGGGGCTGATGTGCTGCTTGAGCTCTGGAATGAATTACCGTGAATCATTTGGTTGGGGAGGACAGAAAGGTTTGCATCTTTCCAGAAATCAGTTATAACACTTCATTCTTATTGACTGCTCTGTGTAGACCAAACAGAGCTGAGAGGAGACTATTCTCATATTATAAGCCCTCTTAGACTAGAAAGAAAGGCAGTGTCAGGATTTCTGGCACTGTGGTGGATATAAATGTGACCACTGGCCCAACACAAGCCCTGGCAGCAAAGCCTTGAGTGCCTTTTGCAGGGCACTGGGTCCCCACAGGTGTTCAGCTGGTGTGAAGGGGTTCCAGGGCTGCCTGAAGCAGGTCCCAGCCACGGGCTGTGAACTCTGTGAGGATGGCCCTGTTGTGTGAGGGATTCCCAGCTCCCTCCTCACAATGCTGGTCCTCAGCTGTGTGCCAGGGATGCCTTTCTGGGACCAGGGCACCTTCTTAAGCCAGTGCAATTTGCCTGTCTCATTTTGCAGGTTCTGCTTCTCAATCCTGGGTATGAACATAATGCTGCACCACTGCTGCTCACCAATTATGCTGCCATGGACTTAAGTGTAAAATCAGAACAAGGATGATAAAAATTCAGTCATCTGCATTTTTATACCCCAATCTTTTTCTTCATAAATAAGACTGAAGTGCATGTTATCTAATGGATTTTATTTGTTAATCATTTGGATGGTTGAAATATTTCCCCTCCTTGGCTTATATGTGTATAAGTGAAAATATTGTTAGTGATTTCACAAAATGGTAATTCAGAATAATGGAGAGTTGATCCTCTTTTCATTAGCGAGCCACTTCAGGACGTACACTGTGGCAAATTACACTGCATTTTAAGTTGTTCTCGAGTGCTGTGCACTAGAAAAAAAAAAATTAAACTATTTTTGCATTGATAGAAGTAATTGTGTGGCTAATTTGGATAAGCAGCATCTATTAGGCACAGCAAAGGAATCTCTTCTTTATGCTCACTATCCACTCTACAGCTGCCAAATGGAATTGCTTAGTGCTTTTTAGCTTATTTTATTTTTAACAAAATGAGGAGGGAGGAAAGAAAATCTGCCAGTCTGTCTGCTGTTAATTCACAGAGAGCACAGTCTGGTAGCTGAAACAGACACAGCCATTAAAGGTTTCCTTTCTGCCCCTTCTTCTTGGTCCCTTGAGCTACTCAGATTAAATTTACATTTCCAGGAAAGATCTGGGAAGTTGCAGAGTGTAGGGGCCTTGTTCCAAATTTGGGCAACTGGAAGGATGTGCCCTGCCACCCCAAAGCTGCAGAGGGGTTTTGGGAGACACAAGTCACAAGCAGTACTGGTTGGTAATCCCACAGTCTGTGGAGGGACTGAGGCTCATGTTTGGATGTGCATGTCATAGTTTCAGTGACAGTGTGTGCATTTCTAATGCTGGTTTTCCAGATGTGGCAGTTTCTGAGTACTATGAAACTGAAAGCCATAAGTCATTATGTACATCACAAAATACTATATTTCTTAATATTTTTGGCTCTTTGTGCTACACAAGCCTTAGCATTGTATATAAAGATGCCAAACAGTTTGGCAAGACTTATGAGTGCTTGACTGTTAAGATCCAAGTGAGCTGTAGAAATTATAGAAGAGAAACAAACAAACAAACAAACAAAACAAAGGGATGCAGAGAAAAGGACTGCTTTTGTCTTTGTCCTTTGCAAGAAACTGTGCACCTTCTGCTCCTCTTTCCTGCACCCCTCCCTGGCCCAGGAGGAGTTCACAATAACATATCTGCTGTTGCCCCAAGCAAATGTGCTCTGGCTGCTAATTCACAGCTGTGCCTGTGTGCCAGAGGCTGTCGATCCCAGGTAGGGTCAGAGCCCAATGGTAGTGGCATGCTGTACAAACGTGCAATGAGAGAGGCTAAAGAAATAAAAAGTGGGAAGGAAAATGGAGGCAGATAGTGATTTGCTTTGCTCTTTCCTTGAAAATAAACAATTGCAATGCTATTAGTTGCTCTGGAATGCCAATATTGGCCACAGGACTTCCTTGCCTTGCTGCCTACTTCAACACATACTTATATGGCAGAATAGTTTACATTCTTTACCACCTGTGTTTTCTGCTCTTGGGAGCTCTCTCAGCCCATATGACATTGGCCAGCTTTGCTTGTGAGGCTTTTTTGGTGCTGGCTTTATTAAATCTAATTTGGTGTACATAAGTGTACCAGCTTCAGTTTTGCACTCAGGTGCTTCTTATCTAACAGGCATTAGCTAAAAGGTACTTCTTGCTGAATATACCAAGCAGTTCCAGCTGGCTTAGCTGGGAGTGAAAGGTCATCAGCATCCTCAGAACACCTGAAGGATAGGATTTTTTTGTTGCTATGAGCATTGAACTTGGAAGATGAACCACAAAGTAAGGAAAAAAAGTTCTGTAATTATGGTTAAGAAATGTTTTCTTGTGCATGAAATGCTTGTTATTAAAGAACGTTTGCCATTTCGTTTGATGTTGTGTGGAAAGCTAACGTATTTGAATGTTTTTATTTATCAGGAGGAATTCAGCTTTGCTGAAATTGGGAAACACTGAAATCAGGGGACAGCTATTTTTCAGGGGTCCAACACTCCTTTGTGTGTTCCCAACAACTCCAAAAATAATGCTTTCATTTTTATTTACTTTTATTTTTCCAGTTTAATAACCACCTCAGATAAGACTATGAAGAAACAGCACCCATAATGAGGGGGAAGTACCTGGGAGGAGGTAAGGATGGAGAATGCCACTTCTCTTACACTTTCAAAAAGATGTGCAAAGGCTTGAATCCCATATACTGACCACTTGCCACATAAGCACTTCCTCAGTGTTAGAGAGACAAGAATGAGCTCTAATAACGGCAGGTCTTAAAAAAGAGCAAGAGAGGATCTATCAAGTAAGCTCTCGAAATCTTAAGAAAATTTTTGTTCTTTCCCTTCTAGCCAGCATGCAAGCTACATGCTTCCCCTCAGGACAAAAAAGTACTTACCCTTTTTGAGTATGACTAAGCACAGGGCTGTTTTATGCACTGGAAAGTTCTTGCAGAAGTTAATGTGCATGCTGTCTGGAGTGCAGTGTTTACACTCGGGAGGAATATAAACAGTGCCTTGGTTTCTATGTATTTCATGATAGAAGTGCATCATCTGAGCTGAGAGCTAGCAAGCTGCAGCAACAAAAGCTTGCTTTGTTGGATGATTTAACTAGATTAATTTAAAAGTGGTGCTCCCTGTTATGCCACCCCCGTGACATTTTGCTAGCAAATAGCTAGCAATGCCAGCAGTAGCCACAAAGGGCTGTGTGCTTTCCTGCATGAACCTGGCACTTGCTGCACCTCAGAGGAATGAGGTACTGTACACCAAAGGTTCCTTGGATGGTTTTTTTTCTAACACTAGACCAAAAAAATATTAATTTTGTACAAATATTCCTTGGAAGGGGAGCAAGTCTTTACAAAAAAATCTTTTTATAAAAAGAGAGAGCCCCAAAAGAATTAAGCTAAGTGCTGTACATACAAACTGGAAATCCTTGGGTATGTGCAGTGTATGTAAGTGAAGAATTACATAATCCCATATTCCTGTTCCTATCCCAGTGTTCACCAAAAGCAGTCGTTCACTTCAGTTCCTTTATTTTATCCCTGCATTTTTATGCTTGAAGCAGACTGTAAAACAGTTCTTGCAATGCATTTGTCTTTAAACGATTTAGAACTAGAAGAATCATAGCCTCTGTGTAATTATTTCCCAAAAACCTCCCCGCTGTGAATATTCAAAACTCACCAACTATTTCAATAAATTTCTAAGGCACTGGTGACTTTTTAAAAACTTATTTTTGCTCTCATTCTTTGTTGCCTGAACTGGTTAATTTAAAACAGAGTAAGCTGAGATTTTGTGAAATATTTTTGGGAGTGCCCTAAGAAACTTAAAACACAGCATTATCTGAGAGAATGGTTATTGGATTGGAAAAGTTAGCTTCAACAGGAGGGTGGAGCGATTATCAAAGAACAAGAAAAATATTCTGGGATGTGTGTCACAAAATGCTTGGAAAACTGCATGTTCCATCGTTTAAAATTTCAGTTCTCCCTCTAAGATAAATCCAGTTGCTGTACCCTATTTCCCAGTTTATCAAGTAACTTCTGTAATAGAGACACTTTGTTTTATATTTTTTTAAATCATAAATTTTGTTTCCTAAAACTTTTTGTTTCTGTATTAGCTTTTTTCCCTCTGCAGCAATACTAGGCGGCTGCCTTGGAAGGGTTGCCAGTTCTCACTCCTCTCACTGACCTGCCAGACTAAGCTATAAAAGGAAGCGAAGGGGCTCAAGAAATACAGCAGAAAATGAGTATTGGTCAGACTTACCTGTGAGCTTGGGCAGGTGCTCTAGGTGGCTGGGCTCTGTGGAGTGTGGCAGGGTGGCAAAAGAAGTCTTACAAACTTTGAATCTGGAGCCTATTTTTAGAGTAGGATTTGCTGACTCTGACCTTTAGTGCTACCCACTCCAAGGGACGGTCTTTGCATCTGCTGGTAAAAGTATTCCCTGATGTCACCTGAAACATTAAACCTGGCAATTTAGTTACCTAGCCTCAGTGAAACTGATAATGGGATGTCTGTGGGTTGACTATAATAATACAGAAACAATCCTTTTATCTTCTTGTCCCTTTGTCGAGCCCAATGCCAAGTTCACCACAGCAAATGTCAATTTCAATTCTGCTTCCTGCTACCCTGCGCATGGGTGGTTTGGCACTGGCACAGCAGTGGGGTGACCTCCATGCTGTGCAGAGATCTTCATACCCTGCTTGCGCACTTGCCCTACCTGCTGCCTTGTTTTCCTCCAGCTGCTGCTCTTGGTATCAATATGACTTCTAAAATGCTTTTTTCCACCTAGAAAGTGACGTGGAGCTCTGATGATATGGCAAAACGTTACAGAAAGAGGAGGGGAGGGTACACAGGTGGAAGGTGAGCACAACACACTCCTACCACCAGCACAGGGAAACATCACCTCCACTTAGGTTGTCCCCTGCGGCGTGAAGGTGTGCTGGGATGTGCCTTGCTGGGACCGTCTACACAGTGGCTGGGCGACCTGTTCTGGGGCTTTGCCTCCAGCCTTGGCCTCATGCCCTCAATGAACTAGCTGTTGATGAATACACATTGGGTCTTTTCTCATCTTTTGTAAGAGAGAAATGGCTGCTGTGCATGCCAATGCCTGTATCCAAAGCTTAGGTTACCCATGCATTTTGTCATTTCTTTTCCAAAACTGCCCCAAGCACAAGGTAGGTGCCATTAAGTTTCAGAGGGACACTAGCTCCAGTCTCTTGGGGTTTTTTTAATGAGAGTGCAGCCACCTCTGTTATCCCGTCTGTTAAAAGCTAAAAGTCCATTCCAGAAGGAGCAGGCCCAGTCTTAGTCATGGCTGTGCCTAATACTGCAGTACAGATGTGAAGGAATAACAAACAGCTTCAGTTCAAGTTCTGGGCGCTGGACCCGCTGCTGTTTTATGCTAACGGCAGCGCTCCAGCCAAGTTTCTGTATTACAGAGCGGCCAAGCTCCTCCCTGCCAATTATTCAGATAGTCCCTCTTAAAATGCGAGAGAGCTTAGATGTTAGGAACCCGCTGTGCCTTATAAGTTACCTTAGGAGGTTGTTGTGCAAATTAATTCTATACTGATAACAGCGAAACTTGGGTGGAGGAGGAGATACAGACCCTGTATAACAGAAACTAACATGGGTTGCTTTATTTTTATCCCTGTAGGCGACCCAATACCGGGGAATATGGGTAAAGTGATATGGCAGCGCAGGCAAGGAGAGACCGCGTGAGGTGCAGATCTGAGCTCTGCGTGGGGATGGCAGCGGCCTCCTGCTTCCCTCCGGCTGTCGCCCCACCAGGTTGTCTTTCTGATGTCAGGCCGATGGCACGGCAGTGTCTTGTGGTATTGTTTTTTCAGGCTGACATTTTGAGTGCCAGGAATATTAAGCTGAAACAGAAGTATTTGTTTGTCTGCCTGGCTGTCAAAACAATGCGAGCCCTTGTGCCCCTCACTGTAGGGTCCTGAGAATGTGTAGGGAGGGATCATTCACCTCCTGGAAAAGTGTTCTATTTTGGGGAACATTTGTGTGTGTTTCCATTAGTTTTGCTTTTGTTAGGTAAAAAATACTAGCTGCTGAAATGTTTTAGAACAGCTGACGAGTTAGATTGCTTTGGAGCCCAAACACTTGGGAAACGTGGCAGGCAGGCTCTTATTTTGAAAGAGGTAAGCACCTGCCCTCTGAGAAGTTGAAGTGTTGTCTTGGGCTCTTGGAAGCAGATGTTTGCCATGCTGTTGGTCAGTTCTGAAAGTCTTGGCTAAGCTGATGGCCCTTTGAATGCCTGGTTTGCTCCCCTTCCTGGGGCTGTCTATGCTGGTGGGGCTTGGCTCTCACTTGTGCTCACCCACTGGTCCCACTCTTCCAGCTGAACAAAGCAACTGCATCAGCACCAGTCGGAGCACTGCCCTGGAGCGAAACTCTTTGTCCCTTTATTCTTCATGAGTGCTCTGAAAGTGTGGTAGGACCAACCAAGAAGAGTGCCAGGCACTGCTCAGATGCATAACAAAAGGCAGCTCCTAGCTCTCACAGCTAATATTCTAGATAAAAGACTTAGGTAGCAAAAAGAAGGACACCCAAGTGGAATGAGCACTACTTTGGCTGGAAGGGAGCCACAGACCAGCTTCATAGGTGGCAGTTCTTGTAGCACAGGGTATGGAGCTGTGGGAAGGATGAGAATTGAAGTCCCTTCAAGAGACAGGAAAGGAGAGAGGGAGCAAAAGCTACTTTTTAATTTATTATTTTTCTTAAATCTTAGGAGAACTAAATTTCTTCCACAAACCCTGGCTAAAGAAAAGGAGAGGGGAGAGAAATGATAGATTTCTGGCCAGACCACACTAGAGCGGTGGAAAAATCTGGCGTTCTGTTTTCTAAGGTTTGAAATTTAAACGTTAGTTGAAAGTAAAAGTTTTGAGTGAAGTTCTTCTTTAAAAGACTTCCCTCCTCCACTCCAACCTGGTGGACTGGAAGATTTCCTCTTTGCTACAGAATATGCTGGAAAACCAGGATTTTTAACAATTGCATGGGAAGAATAAGTGTATAATTATGAGACTGTCCTAATGGACATTTGCAGCTGTACTGAGATGTGAACAGCATGCAGAAACCATTACAATTCCAGTTGTTTGGCAAAACTTAAGAAACTTCATATATATATATGTTTTAAAGTTAACTGTAAAGTAAATCCAGATGGTTCTCTCTTGCGCAGATGAGCAGTCTTCAAACTAGACATGTAGCTGTAGCCTAGCTATAACTTGTTTTGATTACTGCAGATAGAGAGAAATGTTTTAAATGGCTGTGCGCCCTCCTCACAAAATGCCGCATGCCCCTGATTCTTGCTGAAGTCAACTGGTGTTTATGCAGCACTACATAAAACTTGTTGTCCAACACCTTCCCTGCATGAGAGCCTGGCTGAGCGCGGTGTTTACTCCCTCGTTTTGCTGAGGTATGGCTGAAGGGCCCCTGCCAGGGGCTGGGGCTCTGCTGAGGCAGGTCTTATAGGACCATAAAACAAAGAAGGTGCATAACCCACTGCTTGAAATGAATTTGTTCTTTTTTCCTCGTCTCCTTGTTAAGGATTACCAGAAAACATCGGTGGTTTATTTTTGACTGATGATGTATTCAGTGTTATATTTGAGTCTTTAATAAGTGCTGTCTGTTGTGTTCATTGCTTTATTTCAGCTAGATGTCGGTTTTGCTAGCTTCTATCAGCAGGGAATTGAAATTATGTTGACTCAGGAGACCATCCTGCACATCAAATCAGAAGGGAAGACTCGGTATACAGGGCAGGGATTTCAGCATCTGAGTGATTTAAGCCAAGACATTAAGAGCATTTCTGAAACTCTGAGAAGGGGATGAAATGAAAGACCTATCAGAAATGATAGGCTTATGGTACATTACTATTTATGTTGTTTTTCTTCAGTCGATAAATGTGTACTTGTAGATAAGAGTTGATATTGTTTGTCCAAGTAGTAGAGCGAGTAGAAATATTGTTTATGAGTTTCTTAGGCAGTGCTATTGAAATGGTAACTTGGATTTGACCTGGTAGAAATCAAATTTTTTGACTGGTGTTTTTCTTGCTGTGTCTATGGCAGGGCTGATAGCCCAGCAGTCATGGCTCTGTTTAGAAGACAGTATTTGAGGCTAGAGGCACTGCAAAGTTCGTGGGTGCCAGGAGAGAAGGACCCTAGTCTTGACCTAGACTGCCTGGGTTGATGGGGAGGGCCTGGGGCAGGGGCTTTGCCAGGAACCTTGTTCTCTTCTCTGCTTTCTCTCTCCTTATCAGCAGAAAAAAGTGTTCTGAGTGATTTGCGCTTAAGTTGAGAATAAATCCCGAAGCACTGTAATGGGAAAATAAGGGATGAGAGCATTTACTGTAGTCTACCCTTACTGCAGAACGCTGAGAACAGAAAGAGTCTGGGGCTCTAAACTATTTATTCCCTCATTTCTCAGTGCTAAGAGAGAGACCTGTGAGAAGAGCACCTGCTTGAGAAGTCCTGTGGAGAGAGAGTATTAAACAGTGAGTAAGTTATGTGCAGTGCAGAGCATCCTGATGTGCTCCTGAGATCCAAAAATCAGGTATCTCCAATAGCTCAAAGAAAGTGGCATTGCCAAAATTCAAGGTATTTTTGTTTTTAACATGCCAGAGTGTCACATGCAGGATTGCACTTCAATTCTCTTGATAACAGGCTGGAAATGTGCCAGTTTTTTTCTACTCTGTCTCTATTAGGGTAAGGAGGTTTTGTTCTTCTCTCTATCCTTAGTCACAAATTGCCTTGGAGATTCCAGGTGCACGTGGTGCAACCTATTCCCTAAGCGTAGCATGTTCAAAAAATGAAACGTGGATTCTTGGTATGTAACTCTGATGAGACAGCTTTGTCCAGACATGCTGAGAGTGGGTTTCAGGTCTGAGTAATCTCATGGTATATTCAGTGCCAAGTCTAGACTTACAATGGAGCTGAGAGCCAGAAAATGGATTGATGTTTGCTGTCTTCTTGGTACAGGCTCGTTGGCATTGCAGATGGAGGAACTTGAGAACTGCCATGCTGGCGCTGTTGTTCTGGTGTCTGTGCTGCTGACCATGGTCAGTAACAAACATCTTAAAGGAATGTAAGCTGAATGTGTGCTCCCCATTTCTAGGATGCATTTTCTGCCCCCCAGACGAGTTGTTTAATCTCTTTGCTCCTCAGATAAATCTTGGCTGGAAGCCCAAAGCATGAAGTTTTATGTCTTTTCCAAAAATATTTCTTTTCTTACAATGTAGATTATCTCTGGTGGTGGTTATCCTTTTTTTTATGCAACTATCCAATGTTCTCTTTAAGTCTTCTGTGCTCTTTGCCTCCAAGTGTTGTGATAATGAGTGAAACAGAATAAATAATGAGAATAACTGCAACTTGTAACTTGAACTGGTTTGAAATATGTCCCCTTTTCATATTTTCTGAGCCAGCCTGGGGGAAGTTTGCCCAACCACAGGCTCAGGTGCAGTTGTTCTGAGGCACTTGAAACATCTGGTCCCATGGCACTGCAGCTACAGCCTACTGTCCGCATAGAAGTAATCAAGCACACTTTGTGTTGTAAAACCCCACAACAACTAAACAATGCCTCATAATCCACGGGAATGTTCCATACCACCTCGGGGCAAGTGCCTTTTAATGGCTTTTTTACTCTGAGTTTGATCAGATTCCAGACTCTTTTAAGATGAGAGCACCATAAATGTTGGAAATGAGGTACTCTATTTCAGGGAAAATACAAAAGCCAGACTGCCATAGTTCTGTGAAGTAGAAACAGAGTTGTTACACTACGAGAGATAGCAGGGCTGCCTTAATAGATGGCATTCAAGTGCAGCTGTTTATGGGTCTTAACTGGTGTTGGCCCACAAAACACATACTTAGAAAGGAAATCAGGGAAAGCTAACACATGCCTGGGGGCTTTGAAGTTGTTATTATCAGCCACGTACAAAAGAACGGGAGATCCTCTCTAGTCCAGCAAGTACTGAGAAATGAATTGAGTTTGGCTGGCGCATACATCAAAGGTCTTCACTTGTAATTTGCTTAAGAGATTAGAAATGAAATATGAGGGAATTATTGAGGAAGAGCAAGCTGCTGGATTTTTCCCCCTTGCAGCAGGAGAGAACAATTGAGCGTGTATTCTGGCTGAAAGTGATTACTGGAAAGCTTTCTGACAACCTTGAGCAAAACAGCGGTTGCATCTTAGTTTCACTGACATCAAATAAGCATTTGATTTACTGAGACCCGATTGGACCTGTCCAGTGCCAAGGAGTATCTTTGAGACACAAACAAACTTGATAAAGCTCTTCATTTACAGAGCCACAATCTCTAAAGCACTGCATTGCCAGACCATGAAATGTGCTCTGCGTTTTAGCTACCAGAAATATTTTACTTCAGAAGTAAATGAACAGGACCTAGCGACAAACATTTGAAGCTTGCTACTGTTTCTCTTGCTGTCAAATGTGATTTTTGCTTTGGATGTTCAAGAGACTGAAACCACTAGGAGGGCGGCAACATTGTCTGGTGATTAAGCTGTGGTTGGACTGAGAGATAGGAAGGCTTGACAACAGCTGTGATCTTTCTGGAACAAAACTGACTATGAATGCTTTTGAGGTGAAAGTAAAGATTTCTAGTGAAGAGAGCTTCCTGAAACAGCTTACAGCAGAAATGCAGAGCGTGAAAAACCTTTGATTTTTCAGAGTTTTAAGGAAAGAAAAAACGAGATGAATTTTTTAAAGGGATTCAGAGATGTTGGCAGAGGTGCGTAGGTCAAGTAAGTCTTCCATCGCGTGTCCCTTGCTGCTGCCAAGTCAGAGATTTCATGGAATGACTTGGAGCTTCTGGATCAAGACAAGATACCTTAAATAAAAGATCCTGACCTTTTTTGGAACAAACACAGGATCTGATAGGTGTTAGTCTGCAGGCCTTATGACCTAAAATCACAATCTGTGATTCTGTGAAATGGAAGATGCTGACTGCGGATAACTTGCATGCTCATTTCTGACCTTTCTTTGATAGTGTAAAATTTGTACAATTTGCTGACTGTATTCAGCATGCTCTTTATTGCTTTTTCTCCCCCTCAGCACAGGAACTGTTACTGCGTGTTCTCAGTCCACGCCATCTCATTTAGGTTGGGATTTAACCTGCCCTTTTATGCTCTGAATGGAGAATGTTAAAAGTTTCTGTCTGTAACTCACTGTACACAGAGCAGAAGACCATCAGTCCAGCTTAGTTATTGTTTTAAATAGCTGAGGCAGGAGAGTAACAAATGAGTGCATCTGTCTCCCAGTCAGAATTAATCATCAGTATTTATACACTGAGCATTGCTACTCTTAGTTTTCATGCAGTGTTAAAATATTCATTCTTGTGAGGCAAGCGTGGCTCTCCCGCACCTTTCAACCCATCCATATTACCATGCTAGCAATGAGAGTTTTTAGGAAAGCCTTCAGCATAATCCACTGCTCCTCCACTTAGACTCCAGGAATTTCTCCAGGAATCCATTCAGCAAGCTTCATTCCAGCCATTGCAGATGCTTATTTCAGTATGGATTATGGCCTCTATCCCATACATCTCACCATTTACAGATTGCGAAGTGACATCCAAATGTTATGAAAGAACATTCACGTTGAAGATCTCATGTGAATGAAAATGAACTCAGAGTGACAGCAGCCCTGAGACAAACGCCCTGTGCCAGAGAGGAGCGTGCAGGGGTGGAAGGAAACTCCCTGCCACAAGGAGGGCAGTGGCAGGGGATGGCAGGGCAAGGCAGGAGGAGCAGAACTGCAGGGTTGCTGGGTGGGTGGCCGCTGAGAGAGGCTGAGAAATCTTTCTGGAAAAGAGGACTTGTGTTCAAGATGCAGAACTGGATTCTTTCAGGAATTAGGGCAGGCGTTGTCTATTGCAACTGTAGCATTTACTGTTAGAAAAGTAGCATGTATAAGTAGTACATAAAATTACTGCTAAGCATATTTCTGAATTTCTGACTTTTTTCAGTGATGTGGAAAAGCCTAGTTTGAGAGGGAGAGAAAGTGAGCTATGCTGCACAGCACAGATAAGTCCAGCTTTACCTATTGACTTATCTCTTTAAAAAAAAAAGGAGGGAGAGAAGAGATTGGGGGAAACCAAAAGGAGGAAAGTCTTGAAAGTAGAATGCATCAAATATTGTTTCCTTGGAAACAAAAAGGAAGGCTACATCACAGGGTTCAAGGCTATAAATAGAAACCTAGCAGTGCAGATGCAGAAGAACTCTTGTTCCTAGAGGGAAAATTTAGAAATGAGCATGACCTCCCTTTAGAGCTGCTGTCACAATGCAGTCAGCACAGCCTGATCTGGAGGCCCAGCAGTAAATTTAGCTGCTGCTGTATGACAGTCTTCTCTCAATTAGCTGCAGCATTCAGCTCAGGGAACTGGTTCAGTTGGTGAGCAGAGGTGCAATTTTCAGGCTGCTATAAATACAGTCAGTGTCTCCAGAGCCCTGCTACACTGCAGTGGCAGAAATTACTGCTAGTCTTCCGCTTGCACCCTAAATCCTTCAGGCAGACATGACAGGGCAGTGAAAACCTCAAGCCCTTATTAATGCTTCTGAAAAGCAACCTGAACAAAGCATCACCATGATCAAGAGCAACAGGCAAAGTGGGAGCTCAGGCCTTCAGATATGATGAGCTGAGGCTCTCTGGGCTACTTTGGGGCATCTGTCCCTCACGGTTCCCACTGTGTCCTGCCCCATTTCCTCTCTCTTCGGTTGCCCAGCAGTGCAGTGGTTGTGGTCAGGGCTGAAGCATCCCTTGGCACCAGAGGAAGGTTTGGAGGAAAGCCTGGAGGACTGGTGAGGTGGCATCAGGCCAAGCACCACCCTACCCAGCTGCAGGCTGGTACCGGGCTGCATGACAGGGCTCATCTCACACCCTGCCAGTGTCAGGCCTGGGTTGTGAATCCTTCCTGAGTTATGGCTCTTGATGCCATTGATTATTGATGCTATTAGCTGCAAAACCGAATACTGTTGTGTTCATTCATTGTGACAAGTGTGTTCTTTCAGACAACGTCACTGTCCTTACTTTTGGGCAATGGGAAAGGTTCTCCCTGCTTTTACAGCATAAGTCTCCTCTGTGAGTGTGTATGTACCACGCTGCTGAAGGATAGCTTAGAATTGGATGATTCACACATCGTCATACAGGCTAATGCAGTTGAATCTTCCGTCTAAAGACTGAAGCCTTGTATAAATAGCATTATTATTTGGTCTTTCCAGATGTTAAAAATAAAGAAATCAATTGGTTATGGCACTGCGAGTAAATTATTTCTTTCAAATTGAGACGCAGGTTTGTTCCATCACTTTATATGTGATAACACAGGGCCTGATCACATTTCCCTTGCCTGGTGGGAATCACCCCAGTGTGAGTGACCTTAGTGTGGCTGACAGCTCACAAAGCACTGCTCCATAAGCTGGCAAAGCAGTGCTTGCGCTGCTGGTGAGTGAAGACCTTTGATAAATGTCC